TCTATTTTATAATGTCTCAATCCCTGTATCCCAGTATAGCTCTATCTTTGCTACTGTAACCTTTAATAATTTTATCTAATACCTTACTCATTTATTTATACTCCTAGTAGTAAACCATTAATGAAATTAAGTCTGTATAAACTTCTTACTGCCCACCCTTCTTGCACTACACAATTATAGTCAATAGTATTATCTTTCTCAGCGTTTACCTTTGTACTGTTAAATATGCTTATGCTTCCACTAACTGATTTGTCAGCTTAAAATTATGTCCTTTGACTCCCAGACACTACAGACGATGCAAGACACAAACTTGTTTTATCCCAACTTTCATCTCACTTTCTACTTCTCTAAATTTCTTAGTTACATTACTAATGTGTAAATTATTAGGACTGCTGTTGCTTGGTTAACTGTTGAGTCAATTCTGACTAATAACGACCCTTTGCATAACAGAATGAAACACTGCCCAGTCCTGTGCCAATCTTTAACTGCTGTTAGGTTTGAGTCCACTGTTACAATCACTGTGTCAATCCATTTTGTTGGGGGGTCTTTCTCTTTTTGATGATTATCTACTTTACTAAGCATAGTGTCTTTTTCCAAGCATTGGTCCTTCCTGACAACATGTCCAAAAAGCATGTGAGAGGAAGTCTTGCGATTCTGGTTTCCAAGAAGCGTTCTGACTATACTTCTTCCAAGACAGATTTGTTTGCTCTTCTAGCAGTCCATGGTACTTTCAATATTCTTCACCAACATCATAATTTAAATGTACTGATTCTTCCAAGATCTTCCCTATTCCTTATCCAACTTTCACATGAACTTGAGGCAAATGAAAATACCATGGCTTGGGTCAGATTCACTTTAGTCTTCAAACTGTCGTGTTTGCTATTTATGCTATTTATACTAAAAAGTCTTTTGCAGCAGATTTGCAATATTTCTTTTGATTTCTTGACTGCTGCTTTTATGAGCATTGATTGTGGAGCCAAGTAAAAAGTATTTGACAACTTCAATCTTTTTTTTTTCAGTTTATCATGATGTTATTTATTGGTCTAGTGAGGGTTTTCATTTTTTTCACAATGAGGTGCATTGTAAAGATATATTAGGATATTCAACATTAAAATTTTATTCTTTTTCCTTATTCCCACTTTTATTTTTAGCTCAAGTCAGTAGTTAAATCTACCCAATGCTCTCCAATAGTACTTTTGTCAATTTCTCTAGTCACTTATACAGGATAAAGCTCATCTTCTAAAAGTTTCCTTAATAAATTTAAGAGGGTATTAGACTAACAACATGCCCCAGGTTCTTTTATGTTCAAAGCTGTGTACAGTGTCTATATTTGAAGAATATTTTACAGAAGATAAAAATAAGGTAAAGAAAGATCAAATAGCTTGTACATGCTACTAAAGGGCAAAGTATAGCTTCAAAGTTCAAGCTTTTGTTCCTTATAACAAGCTGAGGTACTCAATTTTCAATCAGAAGAAACACTAACAATTAGAGACAATGGCAATACAATTATACCAAGGATGGTGATATCAAGAGAACATCTTTTAGAAACTGTGTGAGACTAGAGAAAAGTAGGATCAAGAGGTTACATCCTATGGTTAAAAGAATGGCCTGTGGAGTCAATCCTAGATGTTCATACTGGCTGTGCTATTTATTAGATAGGATACCTTGAACACAGTCGTGGTGTGGTACTGTGGTTAATGCACTGGACTGCAAAGTCACTTTGAACCACAAGGTCAGTGGTTCAGCTCACCAGCCAGCACCTTGGTATCTATGGGGCAGAACAGACTCAATGGCACTTAGCAACAAGTCTCAGTTTTTACATTTATAAAATGGCAATAAAAGTGTCTACCTAACGAAATGTTGCATAGTTTAAGTAAAATATTTCATACAGGGATAGCAAAAATAGCTGGTACATACGATAATAATCTTTTTAATATGTTACTTTTTTAAAATGACTATTATTCCCATGAGATTAATCTGTGTGACGCTGTGGATTAATGTGCTGGGCTGCAAGGTCGACGCACTTAACAACAATCAAGAAAACAAAGCGTCACATGTAGTTTCTAAGATTATTGAGGGGGGGAGAAATACTTTCTAAGAAGTAAAAAAAGGAGCCTATTTTCTTTACATAAAATGTCCTCTTCTTCCTTCAGCCAAGCACGTGACCTAAGCTTTAATAATTATGTACTTTAAGTCCTAATTCCTTAAGGAAAATTGCCCTGATGAACCAATCTACATCAATCTATATAATCTCTTAACTGTTTATGTTTGCTCATACTATATTCTAAAGACTTTATAATAATAATAATAATAAATATTATAATAATAATAAATAAAATATAATAATAATAATAAAGTGCTTTGTCCTATCTTAACAAAAAAATTTAGTGTTTACTTTTAGCACAACTGCCTCTTTTACCAACTGTTTTATGTATCATCTTGTCCTATCAATTAGACAATAATGCTTTTTTTCAATCAGGTGTTTCAACTTTTACCCTTTTGGGATGGGCTCAACCAAAAAATTTATAGTGTTTACTTTTAGCACATATGGTTCATATATTTTCAATTGCCTCTTTTACCACCTGTTGTATGTATCATCTTGTCCTATCAAATAGACAATAATGCTTTTTTTCAATCAGGTGTTTCAACTTTTACCCTTTTGGGATGGGCTCAACTGTTTAGCATTAGTACATGGTGGTGGTGGCTATGTGCCGTGGAGTCAGTTCCAACTCATAGCAACCCTGTACAGGATTTCTGAGGCTGTAAATCTTTACGGGAGCAGAAAGCCTCATCTTTCTCCCACAGAACAGCTGCTAGTTTCAAACTGCTGACCCTGAAGTTATTGTTGTTAAATGCCATCGAGTCAGTTCCGACCCACAGTGACCATGCACAGGGTTTCCGAGGCCGTAAATCTTTACGGGAGCAGAAAGCCTCATCTTTCTCCCGCGGAGCAGCTGGTAGTTTCGAATGGCTGACCTTGCAGTTCGCAGCCCATTTCGTAACCACTACTGCTACCACTCGATGGCACTTAACAACAACAACAACAACTGCTACCAGAGCTCCTTAGATAAGATACACAGAAAGTTTTATTTGACTGGTTCTGCATGCTTAAATTTAAGGGAATACAGAGTGATGTGCTAGAAAAACCATTTTTAAGTAAAACATTTCATTTTTACATTGTTAACTATTTGAAGGACCCTTTCCATTTAAAAATAAGGTAAAGCACTCCTAGTGTGGCGCTGTGGGTTGATGTGCCAGACTACAAAGCCGTTTGAACTGCAAGTTCAGCAGTTCAAGCTCACCAGCTGCTCCTCGGAAACCCTTTGCAGGATCACTATGGGTTGGAACCGACTCACTGGCACTTCACAACAACAATAACAACTCTTAGAAGGAGACTTGGTAGTGTCGTGGATTACAAGCTGGACTGCTAACGGCAAGGTCAGCAGGAGAAAAATATGGCTTTCTGCTTCCATGAAGATGTACGGCCTTGGAAAACCTATACAAGGTCACTAAGAGTCAGAACTGACTTGGTAACACACAACTACCACCATCAGATGTTAAAAAGGATTTTATATAATGCCTTCAGAATGATTTCTAAAACAAAGAAAAAAGAGATACATATAATACTTTTTTAATTGAACAGAATTACACACTATCTCTAAGAGCAAAGGTACACAAGAGCTACCTAATTCATGAACACTTGGTTAATATGTAACATTTACTGTAAAAAAGAGAAATTCACAAGAACCTAAAATAGTTATGAAGAAAGTCAAAGCATTTGTATCTTTGTACTCAATGTTCCACCAGAAGTAGTTTCACTTAACTAACCTGTACTGAACACAAAGTATTAGGAATAGCTGTTCTTTTCAATTTACAGATTTCCTTCTCTTATGTTACTAGTTTCAAAAAAGAATATGCTTATATAAAATTAAGCAGTATAATTCTAAACCCATCCACCAAAAACTACGGATGTGGGTAACAGTATAAACTCCTAACTACAGAGACACTTCAAGCTATCCAAAAGCCCAAAAGTTCTAGTCTAAAAACCCTTTGATTCTAGAGTTAACTAAGAGGTGACGGGAAATCAAGGAATACAGAAAGAAAAAACAAAACCAAAACACTGAAAAAGATAGTCAATTCTAAAAAAAATTTGATATGCACGCACAAAAACCCGTCTGATATGCTACAAGGACCAGGTTGTAATAGCCGATTAAATACAGTTACAGTTGCTGACAAAGACAAACGGATTTGTTTCCTGTCGTTAAAAAAGGTATTTTTAGAGGAAGGATCAATCACAGACCCTATAGCATCAATACAACTTTATAAAGTCCCGTGGCAAAAGAATTCCATTAACTCACAAGTGCAGGCAATATTTTGACTTATTTTAACAACCGATGTGTAATTTAACCTCTTCATGTAACAATTTATTAGCAAAATCCTGCAACACTTTCCGACACTTCCTACGAAACAGAGACTGCGACTGCCGACATTGTCCTTAAAATAATCCAATCCTGGCAAAATGACAGTCACCTTCAGTTCAAACCGGCGAACCTTTAGAACAGGCAACAGCTCAAATACAAACAAAAAAATCAGAATCAAACAACAAAGTCAACCAAAGTAACCCTAAGGTTTGTTTCCTTCCTACGCCCTTGGGACCGCACCTCTTTGTGCACAAGAGTCCAAAGGTCTCCTAACCTCAGACCCCAGGAACCTGCCCAGCTGGGACTCCCCAGCGGACACTCCAGTCGTAAGCCTCCGGGAAGCTCCCGGGCCGCAGGAGAAACGCCAGCGAAGGCCGACAGGCACGATCCCCAAGCAGTGCGGGGGGCAGACGTTGTTGGGCCGGGCCCCAAATGAAGACCAGAGGCGCGCCGCCAGCGACCGGGCCTCGGACCGGGGGGGCCAATCGGGGATAAGGCCAGGATCCCAGCTTTGGGCCCCAGCTCTATCGCTAGGCCCAGGGAAGAGCGAAGAGAGGAAGAGAGAAGAGTCGGACTCACCTAAAGAGGACCCTCGGCGACCAGTTCCTATGTGAACGCGGCGCTCGTCAACTCGCCCAACCTTCGCCACTGCCCCTCCTCCCCGGTCCGGGGACACCTCCACGTTCCGCTCCAACGTGGCAGCCGCAGCCCCGCCCGGCGGGCCAGCCAACGCTTCCGGGAGCTACGCCCCGCCCCGTCCGGTTCCACGCGCTGCCCGCTGCGGAATTTCCGGAAGCGGTGAGGCCACTGGGCCGAAACCCTAGATTTCCCTAGCGACGCTGCAGCTCCATGGCTGACTTCAACACCTTGCATGCGGTTGAGGTTAGGGTCTGTCAGGGAGAGGGGGTGACCAGAGCTTTGAGACATGGAATGGGTTTGCTGGATGATGCGATCAGGAGGACCACAGTCCACTGGAATGCCACGTAGCACTCCCTAGTCCTGTGAGGCCTCAGCAGCACCAACTACACCTGACAAAACCACATGAAAATCGGGCACAGGGACCTGATTACTATAATTTGTGCTTGGTTTTTAAAATTGCTTGTTTGGTTCTACCATATTGCGGTTGGAAAGAATTTGTTTAAAACTAAACAACCGTTGTACCCAAAGGCACACATTGTTTCTGAAAATTGTCCAAATACAGACAGACCTCAGAGATATTGGAAGTTGGGTTCCAAAACACCAATAAAGCAAGTCATACAATTTTTTTCGGTTCCCAGTGTTATGCCCAGAATTCAGGGTCCCCAAAGACCACCCAGGAGCCGTGTACCGATGCAAATACATAAGGGTTGTTTAATTAAGCT